TCAAATGGCCTTACACCTAGAGTCTTCGGTTGTACCTCTTTTGTCCATATCCACAGCCAAAATAGAGGGAAATTAGACCCACGGGCAATTAAGTGTGTTCCTTGGCTATTCATCTACACATAAAGGATATAAGTGTTATCATCCCCTCACTAAGAAAACTTTCATATCTGCCGATGTTACCTTTGTTGAAAATAAAAACTACTTCACAGAGTCTTATCTTCAGGGGGAGATCTCACTTATGGAAGATAAAGACTATGGTGTTAGTGATGATCCTGCTTCTTTTGAGCCCCTTGATTTACCCTCAACTTCGTTGTATCCATTGTCTCCGTCCACTCAAAAACGGAATCTTACATCTCCCACTGAACCTGAGTTTGAGTCAATTCTAGAACCAAAACATGTGTCCACTCCAGTGTCTAGTCATACTCATGTTCGTATTTATGACTATGCGATTTCCTCAAGTGTATTCAAGAAGAAGAGCAGTCCCGGACCCGACACAGGTTCAAGATGATACCCTGAGTCCTGGTAATGAAGACATGGTAAGTTCTGACTCACCTGAAACACCAAAAGAAGATTCTCATCTGCCTATTGCCCTCAGAAAAGGTACTAGAGAATGCACGAAACACCCTTTATATCCATTGTCTCATTATGTGTCACTTAAACATTTCTCACCACTCCATAGAAATTTCATTGTGAGTCTGCACACTACTTCTGTTCCAAACACTTTATCTAAGGCATTGTCAAAGAGTGAATGTAGGGGTGCTATGAGAGAGGAGATGGATGCATTAGAAAAAAACAACACTTGGGAGATCGTTGATAGACCGAAAGGGTGTTCACTCTCAAATACAAGGCTGATGGTAGTCTTGAGAGGTATAAAGCAAGATTGGTTGCTAAAGGCTACACTCAGACTTATGGAGTTGATTATCAAGAGACGTTTGCCCCTGTGGCGAAGATGAATACCGTGAGAATCTTGTTATCCTTGGCAGCTCATTTCGATTGGCCACTTCAACAATATGATGTGAAGAATGCTTTCCAGCATGGTGATCTAGAAGAAGAAATTTACATGAACATTCCACCCGGATTTGAAGGAGAAGGCACAGATAACAAAGTGTGTAAACTGAAGAAAACATTATATGGACTAAAGCAATCCCCTAGAGCTTGGTTTGGGAGATTCGCTAGTGTAATGAAGGCAACAGGATACAGACAGAGTCAAGGACATCATACACTTTTTCATCAAGCATTCAACCTTTGGAAAAGTGACAGCTCTCCTAGTGTATGTTGATGATATTATAGTCACAGGAGATGATGAGGAAGAAAAGCTCTGTTTGAAGCAGTGTTTAACCAAGGAATTCGAGATAAAGGAGCTTGGAAGACTTAAATATTTTCTTGGAATTGCGGTTTCATACTCAAGACAAGGAATCTTTATCTCACAACAAAAGTTTGTGACAGATCTCTTTAAGGAAACAGGAAAACTTGGTTGTAAGCCAATGTCTACGCCTATTGAACCAAATCAGAAGCTGGGAAAAGCAAAGGAAGAGCCGGCTGTCGACAGAGAAATGTATCAACGTTTGGTGGGTAAGCTTATCTATCTTGCTCATACTCGGCCTGATATAGCTTATTCAGTAAGTGTGATCAGCCAATTCATGCATGATCCGAGAGAAAGACATCTACAGGCTGCCTACCGTGTGTTACACTACTTGAAAGGTAGTCCAGGAAAAGGAATTCTCTTCAAGAAGAACAAGGACCTCACTTTGGAAGCATATACAGATGCAAACTATGCCGGTTCAGTGGTAGACAGAAGATCAACATCTGGATACTGCACGGTTCTTGGTGGAAATCTAGTAACTTGGAGAAGTAAAAAGCAGAATGTAGTGGCGAGGTCTAGTGCCGAATCAGAGTTCAGGGCTATGGCTCAAGGAGTATGTGAACTATTGTGGGATGATCTGATTATTCGGATGGAAAAAATGGATTGAATCGGTTGATTCTATTTCAAACACAGCATTAACTTCTCTTGCATCTTCTCTTGTGTTCTCCCCCTGAAGATGAGTAGCAAAATATGGTTTGGATTCGAAAAACGTTACATCCATGGTGACAAACATTTTTTTTTTTTTTGAAATTGGATCAAAGCATTTATATCCTTTTTTAGTAGAAGGATATCCTACAAAAACACATTTTTTAGCCCTAGGATCAAGTTTGCCCCGGTTATGATCATGAATATGGACAAATGCAATACACCCAAATATCTTTAAAGGTAACATAGATGACAGCCTAGATGTAGGATAGCAACTTAGGAACACTTGTAAAGGCGTTTTGAATTTAATATCCTAGTGGGCATCCTATTTATGAGATATGTAGCCGTTAGAATAGCTTCACCCCAAAGGTATTTAGGAACTTTATTTGTGAAATGTAAAGCCCTAGCTACTTCCAATAGATGTTTATTTTTTCGTTCGGCTATTCCATTTTGTTGAGGAGTATCATTACAAGTGCTTTGGTGAACTATGCCTTTTCCTAAGAAAAATTTTCCTAAGACCTTATTAAAATACTCTTTTCCATTATCACTATGAAAAATTTGAATTTTAGTTTGAAATTGTGTCAACACCATGGTATAAAAATTTTTAAAGACTTCTTCCACATCTGATTTTTCTTTTAGTAGATAAACCCAGCTTACCTTGTGTGGTCATCTATAAAGGAGACAAACCATTTTTTTCCCAGTGGGTGTTGTGATTCGTGAAGGCCCCCAGACATCACTGTGTATTAATGAGAATGGTTTTGAAACTTTATATGGCTGTGATGGGAATGAGGTACGATGATGTTTTAGCTAACTCACAAAATTCACACTGAAATGAGGACATATTTTTATTTCTAAACAAGGTAGGAAATAAATATTTTAAATATTGAAAACTTGGATGGCCTACTCTATAATGCCATAGTATTATTTCATCACTACTAGCAACCGAAATAGATTCAAGACAAGTACTATGTGCTGGCATTCTAGACTCGGTTCTGCCTTCAAAGAAATAGAGTCCATTAATCTCTCTAGCATTGCCAATCGTCCTCCCCGAGGTTAGTTCCTAAAACTCACAATAAGAAGGATAGAAATTAGCTCGACATTCATGATCATGAGTTATTTTTGCTTATGGATAGGAGGTTACAAGATAAATTGGGAACATGAAGAACATTATGAAGTGTGATGAAAGGAGAGATTATGACTGATCCTGTCCCAGCTACAGCTGAAAGGGATCCGTCTGCAATTTTGATTTTTTTGTTTGCTGCACACGGCTTATAGGTAGAGAATAGTTTTGAAGAACCAGTCATATGATATGTGGCTCCTGAGTCAATGATCCATGGGCATGACAAATTTGATTTTATACTAGAAAGAGCTGCAGTGAGAAAATTACCCTTTTGAGCAAAAGAACAAGAAGGGTTTGAGAATTGTGGAGATTGAAAAAGTTTGTATAGGTGATCTAGTGGTTCTTTTGTGAATTGGGGTATCTCTGAATTGGTTTGTTGTTTCTAAGAATCTTCACTCACGGTCGGGAATGCCTTGCTATCACCTGCATTCTTCTTCTTGAAATTCTGGGGCTTGCCATGGAGTTTCCAACATGTCTCTTTTGTATGCCACGGTTTTCTACAGTGATCACACCATGGTTTTTTCTCCTTTTCTCCATCCGAATCAGGTCCTCTAGATGTCAAAGCCGAGTTTTCTACTTCCAAGTTGGGCCTCGGTTCTTGATTAGTCAACATCACCTTTCGCCTAGCCTCCTCCCTCCTAACTTCCGAGAATACCTCTTTGATGGATGGTAAAGGCTTTCTGCCCAACACCCTTCCTCTTACCTCGTCCAAGTCCTAATTAAGTCCTGCTAAGAACACAAAAACTCGATCATTCTCCTCTCTTTTTTTGTGTCGTACACCATCTCATTGTAGTATGCTATAACATCCCGATCTCCTTGTTTTGATCACCATAGCTTCGATTTTAACTCGAAGACTTGTGAGGAGTCTTCCAGATCTGAGTTCATATCACGCACTGCTTCCCATACGTCTTTGGCAGTAGGTAAGAAAAGATGCGGCTTTCCAATTGCTGGCTCCATTGAGTTGATAAGCCACGCAATTACCAGTGAATTCTCCGATCGCCATTTTTTCAGGTTAGGGTCGTCCGCAGCTGGTTTGCTTACTTCTCCAGTCAGGTGTCTGAGTTTGCCTTTGCCATCAATTGCAAGTTTTACAGACTGAGCCCACTCTAGGTAATTTTTACCATTTAATTTGTCAACTGTAATTTGAAGGAAAGAATTCGATGTGGAAAAATCCATACCACTGTTTATGAGAGTGGTCTCGGATTGCACGCTCTCTGTTGTGACTCCCGAGGAAGACGACTTGCTTGCTCCGGTCATGGCTGTTTTAGCCATTAGGGTCTAACGTAGAAGGATACCCTAGGCTCTGATACCATGTAGTTTTTAGAGAGGGAAAAAATATTCTTCTTTTTATTATACGTTTGGTAAAAGACTACTAGTATTTATAGGTAAGCATGACAATACTCTTGCCACTGAATCCCATAATTCTAGTAATAGATAAATCCTAACTTAAGAGATAAATACTAGCTAATATGGAGATTTAGGATATCTCCTTATCTCCTTATTTAAAAAACAAATAATCCTAACTGGATAATAACCGGAAGTTATCCTAATTTTAATTTTTCTAATTCGACAGTCTTCATGTGTGCCCCCACTCAATTGAAATCCTGGATCCATCACTGCAAACAATAACGTATAAAAATCCGAAATGATGCTAAATTTGGGACACAAAAGATGTGCAATCTAGACATTTTTTTCTTTTTGTTTGGGTAAAGGCACAATCTAGACTTGGGTGAAGTAGATTGCATTTTTTCCACCCACCACAATCTCCACAGCTTTACAACATTAGAAGACAAAAGTTATACAGACAGACAAAATAGGTCAGGCCTATCGCGCGTATATTTTTCTAGACCTTCAAGCTCGAGTTTACTATACCTGGTAGGAAGGATCAACAAGGACATCCCAGATTGTAGCATTGAAGGCATGATCCGATGTAGCACGAGCCATTCCAATTAGCTTCTTTTGGTCATTTTGCTCTGTCATATAACTTCAAGTACACTAAGATGTTCATCAAATAGTTTTAGACATAGCAACAGGTATAGTACATCTTGCATCAGCAATTATATATGACAGATTGATACGGCTAGAATGTCAGTATCGCTATATACCTGATCCTGCTGATCCTGGAAACTTCCGAACTGAATGCAAAGTAGCTACCATATAGCTATTCTTTAAAGCAGCAGCCAGTTTTGAAAGAGGCCTCCGAGGCCAGCCAACCTATTAACACGCATTTGACTTTCACCAATAGAAATTAACAAGAACCGAATGCGTTTCAGATAGATTAATGGTCAAAAGTCTGAAGCAACAAGAAAGATCAAGTAGCCAATAGAAATGAGAATGAAGACATAAAAAGTAGGAATCCCAAGGGTTTAAACATCAAATACGTTCTTCCATATGCATGTGAGAAAAAGGCAACGAAAAAAAAAGGTTACCTTGTCACATAGAGATTGAAGATCATAAACATCAACTTCTCCACCCGAAGAAAATATTATTTGTTCAATCACTCCGTCTGGTTCAGTCTTTTCAACAAGAACAAACTCTTCAGGCAAAGGTTCTTCCTCTTCCTCAAGTGTGGAAGGAGGTTCAATAACTTGTGTTGTACTGTTTTTCATAAACCTGTAATGAGATGCATTTAAGTAATTTAACCACCTTTATGCAAGTAAAACTACGTACAACATAGTCAATTAGTTATCAAAAACTTCTTTTCCGGCTTAGGAAAAGCTGAAATAAAGAATTCCACATATGACATTCAATGGACTAAACGTTATTATGTTTGCCAAGTAAGCTAGAAGCCACATTCCAATGAGTACGTTTTTTTCTCTCTCCTGTCAGTATGGGATAAACAGCTATGGAGGGGAAAAAGGAAAGAAACACACACACTCGCACGTGTTTATAAAATCAAATTACCCAGATTTTATAGAGTCCCACAAACCAGCCTTTAGTCGAAAATCGTTGTGCCTTTTGCTTTCTGTAAGAAGACCAACAAAGATATACACAAGTACAATCACATAGATCAAATAGTAAAGGAAGTTCTAAAGGACTAATTCTAAGCAGATTATCAGCAAGTTTTTCCCGAGTAATTTTAAACCAAGACTAAGACGACGAATTTCATTAAGAACAGGAAGGAAGCAAGGAACCATAACCACAAGGACATGTTCTTTTTCGTCTTCAGCTAAAGAGGAATGCAACTTTCTGTTATTTTTATTTTTACTTTTCTAAGTTTCTGTTTTTTCCCCTCTTTTTGTAACACAATTGGCATCAGCCCTTTCATGTATTTCTGATCAAACTCATTACAAATTCCAAACTTTCAGCCATAATTCACAACTTTAAGGTTTAAAAAAAAAAAAAAAAAAGCAGTCTATTACAGTTCAGGATAAAAATTATGAATATTCCTGTTACCTTTATTATTTCCCTTCTTTCAAAGCCACGACCAGGAAAATCACAAAAGCTATATAATTTCAAACGATATATAATTCAAATACGTGAAAAGTATATAAATACCTTTGGCTATCTGGCTGTGTAGATTGTACGGAAACAATAACTGATTCGTTTCGCCACAACGCATACCCAATGAAACATTTGGGAAACTGCAATTAACAAAACCAAAAAACAAGCATTATTTCCACAAAAACCCTAATTCGCTGCATTTGAATCCATCATAGAGCAAAGCATTACAAAAAAAAAAAAAAAAAAAAAAAAATAAAAAAAAAAAAAAAAAAAAAAAAAATCCGTTAGTCCGTAAAGAACGGTCTCATAAAAATCAAAGTCATTACTTCATAACTCCTAGGAATTCGTAAACCGAATCGCATGGATTAAATCCACGAATTCTAGGTCAATCTACAAAGAAAATTGGAACTTCTAAAGTAAATTAACAGATTTGCAGATTCACGGAATGATTCCACAACTTTCTTGTGCTTTTCCAGGAGATTTTTCGAAAATGGAGTGAAAATGAATCGAAATTGAAACTTCTGAAAATGAAATGACGAGAAAGAAAGTTGATCGAATACTTACAGAGAAGAGGGCAGAAACCCTCTGAGCGTTAGCATTTTTCGCTCCAAGTGATAGTGGATAGTGTCCTGTCTCTTCGAGAACGCAGTTCAGAAAATGGAAAAATCCAGTGCAAAATTTTGATTGGCCAGGATATTTCTAGTATTTGCACTAACGCCCACAAAACTTTTTCCTTTCCAAACACTTCCCCACTAAAGTTCTAATAATCACAAAATCTGTGGGAAAATTGTGACTGGCCAAGGATATTTCTGGTATTTGCCCTAATGCCCATAAAACTTTTTTTTTATGTTTAGTTCACGGATTCAGAACCATTTTCGGTTTATGTGTGTTTTTTATGAGAGAAAATATTATAATAAATCACGAACTATAATTCAAATCATAGCACAAATTCTCATACTAAATACCCTCTGATCACCAAACCTGAGTGAACATCGACTTGGTTGGAGATAGTTAAGTAGTTAATCTCAGTAGAGTATGTTATAAAGTTTTGTTATTCACCCACCAAATTTTGACATAGGAACGTCACATTGCATCAAGGATGATATAAAGATAATATCTACGAATCTACGAATAATAAAATAATGTCAATAATAAAAGAAAATTATATATGAAATAGGTAAGACTTTTCCATTTTCCATCCCAATTTATTTTCCTTAAGTACCCATTTTATACTACAACAGAAAAAGAACCCTAACAATAAGTAAAAACTTACTTTAATTAAATAATATTTTAACTAAATAGTACATTATTTTTTACACAAAATAAAATAAAATAATAATTATTTATCTCAAAGTTTTAAATAATAAATCATTATTTACTGTGAGTGTGACATTAATATTAGTGTCACTCATCTATGCTCCAATCTAATATTTCATTTCAGAATGAAACATTTTGCAATTGATTTTCACTTCATAGGTAGCAAAATTCATAGTGATGCTCTACGCGTCATTCATGTTTCATCTGAATATTGTTAATGGACTCACCAACTACTTCCACAGACTCACATTCACCTTTTATGATCGAAAATAAAAATCTTTGGTCGGTGCTCTATTAGAACAATTAATGATTGAATTATTAATAGCTTTTATTTATGTGCAAATATTTAATTTAGCTCTTATCCCTAGTTTCTAGGGGATTAGACGAGTTAGATTCAATTCAAATTCCTCATATATTTGTATATGTATTTCCCTTCAGCTGATAAAGTACTCGTTCTTTGATACAAGTGAACAAATATTTCATGTTTTTTTCTCATGAACGGGGAAAAGTCGAAATAATTACACAATGATGCTGGAATATCATTAACACGTAACTTAATTTTCTTATTATTATTATTATTATTATTGTTGAGGTGACGGAACTCATTCTCTAAATCTCAACATTATAAACAGGGTGTAGATTCATTGTTATGCTAAATTTGTAACCACTAACCATATAAGTTACTGCTAATGTCATTTCTAATAAATTATTCAAAATGAATTAAAAAAAATAATTATTGAATTTGGATTTTTAGCTATGTGTCAAGATCTAAACCGCTCTACAAATGATATTGTCGATTCTTCTACCAAAAAATAGATGTTGCCCGATTCAACCTACCCAATAACCTCACTTTTTCTTGTTTTCTTTCATTCTTTTTTTTTTCTTTCTTTTTTTTTGGCCTTTTTCATAGACATCCCCTCAACTCTACGAGCTTAGTAAATTAATCTCTTAACTTTTTTTCTTTGCAATTCACCTCTTAAATTTTAAAATTTGTTACATTGTTAGTCAAATTAAAAATGAAGTTAAAAATTTAGACCTTATCTTCTACATGAGTGATTAATAAGGATAATTCTGATATTTTGTATTGAATTGAACCCTTTATACACCTTATGAATAAAAAAAATTTTGAAATTAGGAGACCCCAAATTTTTCCCAGCCTAAAAACGGTTAAACTCTCAACTTTAAAATTTTTTTGCTCGTGATACGTATATGAGGATCAATATACAAAAAAATATTAATTACTCTCATTAAACACTCATATAGAAGATACCGTTTAAATTTTTTATTTGACCAACATTGCAATAAATTTTAAAGTTTGAGTAGTGAATTGTCAAGAAAAAAAATTTATTGACCAACTTGCCAAACTCAAAAAATTGAGGGAGTGAAGGATAATGGCTTCTAACAATGTCACAAGATAGCCGACCAGCCACAGTAATGTTTTCCGGCTTAGAGAAAGATATGCTGACGATTATCATATATAACACAATTGTCACAGATCACAGTTATTTAAAATAGAGCAATGAAACTACTTCTCAATAAGATTTTAAATTCCAATCAACAAAGAATATATGAGTAATTGACTCCAAATATGTACGTATATATTACGTAATAGTGCACTGTATTTCTAAATTATCGGGGTGAACATGTTTTTATTTTTTATTTTGTTATTTTTTTAATCTGCATAGGGTCACCTGGGCTGGGGCTAATCAAGAATAACAAGTTCTTTTCTTGTCACTATTGTTTGGATAGAGTCATTTTAGTAGGATTGATTTACAGACTGCCATTTATCTCTTCATGAAGATTTTTGTAATCGATTATTGGGCGAATTTTGTATGTTATGCTTCTTTATGTTTTTTTTAATGCAAAACAACATTTTATTAATCAATAAAGCATGAAATTTATAGAGAACTTAACATAGAAAACTTGATACGACAAACTAAAATCAATAGATTTGTTGACGTCTTAGTACAAGGATCTAAGGTCTGATGATGAACACAATTTGAAACAATTCTCTCGGCTCGTTTAATTCTCTCTCCACAATTGACTCAATTGAAGGAGTTGTAACAAACTTTCTACAAAGATTGATCTTTAAAAGTTAGTATTCTTTCAAATCAAGTTCGCCGAAACGAGAGATTTGACGAAAGGCAAACAAAAGATAAAATACAACACAAAACCCACACAAAGTTAGAGTTTGGTGAGAGAAGACAACTAAAATAAACAAAAACAACCAAATCTCACACAAATTTAATGATTTGTTGGGGAAACAAATACCAACACTAGTAGAATGACATGTTTTTATTTCACCAACTATTAAAAAAAGAGAAGAAAGTATCAACCGGATTCTATCATCCTGTAAATCAACTAACGCAGAGCATAAATAAAAAAAGAAAATAGGATAACTCGTAGCCGATCAAGTGTATTCGTGTCATGATTTGAATTATGATTTGTGGTTCGTTACAGTATTTTTTCTCATAAAAAATACACATAAATTGAGAATAATTTTAAATTATAATTCTGAATTTATAAACCAAACGTCTATTAAGGCCTCGTTCACTTCGCGGATTCGAGTTTTCAATTTGAACTAAGATGTGACATTTTTTAAGAACTTTTTAACGTAACAAAAAAGATTATATGTGACATTTTCTCAGAATTTTTTACTGTAAAAACTTAAGATTGAAAACTTAAATTGATGAAATAAACTTCGCGGATTCGAGTTTTCAATTTGAACTAAGATGTGACATTTTTTAAGAGCTTTTTAACGTAACAAAAAAGATTATATGTGACATTTTCTCAAAATTTTTTACTGTAAAAACTTAAGATTGAAAACTCAAATTGATGAAATAAATGGTGCCTAAATTTCTTTTCGGATAGAGTCATTTGATATGATTGATTTCCATACCGCAAATTTATCTCTTCATGCAGTCGATTTTTCTGCGAGTTTTGTATGTTCTATGTTTCATTAAAAAAAAAAAAAAAAAGAAATTTTTAATCCGACAATGGGGGCACTGTAGCTCTCTAATAATTGCCATCCTTTATTGAGTTCCGTGCCTACTTGTCATGTTCACACTCCACGCTCCACTTTATATTACTTTTTTCTATTTTCCCACCTCTTTTCTTTCTCTCCAAACAGCACCACCACTTGCCCAATTGATTTATTTTCCTTTTTTCACAAACGCCACGCTTCTTCCCTATAAAACGCCAACTGGGTTGATCCCTTTGTTTAAAGATATGGCATTTCGTGATTTTATGATTCATGTGTAACGTGAGATGTTCATCTATTTCTTCTTTTTTCAATCTCCTTTTCTTTTGTTCTTCTTTGGATTTTTCTCTCAGTGGACCATGATACTAAAGTGTAAAAGCCCCTAAGACCCGGATTCAATCGATCACTTTCTCTCTTATTTTGCTTTTTCACTCTATTTCTTTCTTTTTTTTTTGTAGTCTAAGAATTTAATGTAGCCATTTATGAGACATATTTTAATGAATCTAAATTTTTGCTTGTATGTTTCAACTAATAAGACTTACAACTTGTATAATTCGTCTATGAAAAAAAAATCATAAAAAATTAACCTCGTTCATTTGAGCGATTTGAATTTTCAATTTCAGTTTTACTATAGTTAAAAGCTCTCATAAAAAGTCACATTTAACTTTTTTTACTACAGTTAAAAATTATCATATAAAATTATATCTCAGCTCGAATTAAAAACTCGAATTTACGAACTGAACGAGCTCATAATAATGTACACTACTTTTTCTTTCTTGTGCTAGAAAGCTCACCAAATTATGAGATTTCTTTCTTTTTTTTAAGAGATGAGATTTCTGAATTATCTAAATATGTAAACAAAAAAAAAATCAATGTACCCTCTACTTTTTTATTTGTTTACTACTTAAAAAAGGATAATTGTGTCACTAGTATAATGGAGAGAACCTAACCTAATTTTGTTTAAAAAATGAAATTAGTTTCACTCGCATTGTCATATATTCAACATCGCACAAGCACATAAAATCATAAAGTGAAGCTCTAGAAATATCAAACATTAACCTATTTTGAGAAGAAAAAAAATAAGGAAATGCATCTTAACCGTTGCACGACCCCTCATACAGATTACTTTTTCTTCTACCGGAAAGTTCACTAAATTATGAGCAATTTAGTCCAAAAAGTATAACCATTAGCTGAAAGTGATCTCTCTCTATTTATATAAACATACTAACACATATGGCCATCGCTTCTCTGCTTCGCTATCTCATCTGCTGAAATAGTTTTTCATCTCTGTCATATCTTTTTGCTACTCCATCTCCTGTCATATTTGTATACATACCATTTAGTTCCATTCTCGAGGCCGGCTATGTTTATCTTTATGCATTCGGGTCCAATATGCCATGCATAACGGCTTTCGGTTGCCATTGTCAAACCGTCTTTTATAAAATTTAAAGTTCTGTTCAAATTTATAAACCAAACAAGCCAAATATTGTTTTGCCATTTGGCGCAGTCATTTTGAGGAATAGAAAAAGTAAAAATCCCTGCAGAACTTCAGTTTCATTGTTCTTTCAGGTACGCTCCTCTAGGTTGGCAGAGAATTTCAGAACATTTGCTTTGATGATTCCTAGTTTCCAGTTTGAATCAACTTCCACTGCACAAAATAGTATATGAACTGTTTATTATTAATGTCAATTATTTCTTGATGGGAATATCAACTGTTTATTTATCAACTACATATGCTAGAAATTTAAGGTTGTAGAACTGATGAAATGTGTGACAGAAAGTTTCTATTGGGAATGGCTCAGAATCATTGTATCACAAAATTGCCTATTTAATTATGCTATTATTAAATAAAATAAAATAAAGAAAACAGAATTGAATATTTCGAGAGGATAACCCTCTTTTTTTGTTGTTATGCTTTTTTTTTTTTTTGGGTGCAGTGAAAGGGTAGCGTGGTTCTGGGACTGAACAACTGGAATTCCAGCCAGACAAAACATTTCTTTTTCATGTCTTTTTATAATAAATAATAAATAATAATAATTAGAATAATAAGGCCATACAAGAAGACAAAGGAATATAGAAGGAAAAAAGCTAAAGGTTGCTGGCAAAATGCCTGTGAGCCTGTCGAGAGAAAGAGCAAAAGTGTGACATTGTGAACTGAATCAACAAAAAAGAAAAGAAAAGAAAAGAAAAACATAAGAAAATGTTTTATTGTTTATTCATAGAGGAAATTCTATTATCATGATCATGAAGGAGTATGGTGGTTTAGAGAGTGATAAAAATGGTGTCTGACAATTCCTTTTCTTCTTCTAATCGCTCTCCCAAGTTCTCCAACTCATTCACAACTAGGTATGGTACTTTTTTTTCACTCTTTCAAGCTTGATCAGTTTATGGTTTTTTTATCTTCTCTATTTTTTCCTTTTTAACATCCATTCAAACCCATATACACTATGCCATGAACTATTTTTTGTTGGTTCTTTCTTTTTTTACTTCTTTTTTTTTTTGGGCAATTTTACATATTTGTAAGATCTTTTTAGGACTTGGTAGTTTTCAAGACGGGGAATAATCTATATTATCTAAAATTATTGGAGAATAATCTATATTATCTGTATTCTTTCTCATTCATGTTTTGCCATCTTGTGCATTATTTTTCCTTCTATTTTATTTCAAAACATGACAAATTGATTTTCAGCTTGCATGTGTTAGTTGTGCTCAATAATGGCAACTCATGCATTTTAAATTATAATGGTAACTTTGACTCTTCATTGCGTTATCCTCCACCCTTCCTTTGCCTCCCTATTGAACTAGAGAAATACTAAAAGAAAGGCTTGAAATTTATGCTTTTATTCATCACCCAAAAAAAAAAAAAAAAGTATGCTTTTATTATGCTGATTTTGAATGCTGACATTACAAGTTGTATCTGAACATAGGATCTTTTCTGATGTTGCTGGGGACATTACAATTTTTGTTGATGGAGAGTCTTTCTTATTGCACAAGGTAATGCTAAATCTATACTGCATTTTCTAGTGCTAAATCTACGATTTTTTTTCTTTGCCAAATTTAGATTTTTTTTTTTTTTTTATCTTAAAGAATTCCCGGCATTACTTCACAAGATAAGGCTAAATATATCACCTTTCTTTTAATTTGAAAAATTTTGTTGCCAAGTTTAGCTATTTTCGTCTCAAATTTCTGTTATTTCTGCGCAAGGTAATGCTAAATTTCTCATTACAATTTCTCTTGCTAATTCTATCATTTTTTTCTCTTTAGTTACCAAATTTGGTTGCCAAGTTATGTGTTATTGCCTCAAACAATTTCTGTTGTTCTCTTCTTTTGTAAAGAGTCCTAAGCGTTTTCAACTCCTGCCCCTAAAGAAACCAAAACTTACCTAAGAAGTGCAAACTATATAAAAAGAAGATGAATATCTGCAACAAGAAATTTGGATAAACTTTTCTCCAAACTGATGTTATTGTTCATAATTTTCTACTGAAGTTTCCACTGGTTTCACGGAGTGGAAAGATTCGGAAAATGGTTGCAGACACCAAGGATTCAAATCTTTCTAAACTCGAGCTCCTCAAAATACCGGGGGGACCCCAGGCTTTCGAACTGGCCATGAAGTTCTGCTATGGAATGAACTTCGAGATCACAACTTCCAATGTCGCACAGCTGCGGTGTGCAGCAGAATACCTTGAAATGACTGAGGATTACCGCGACGAAAACCTCATCAAACGAACAGAGACTTACCTCAACGAGGTTGTGTTTCACGGCCTAGAGAAATCGATCGAAGTTCTAGCCTCTTGCGAGGCGCTGCCTCCGATTGCAGAGGAGATCGGAATTCCCAACAGATGTGTGGAGGCTATTGCCCTGAATGCTTGCAAGGAACAGCTAGTTTCGGGTTTGTCAAGGTTGGATTGTGACAATGAATCTACAGAGCTGAAAAGTAATTGCCTTGAGTGGTGGATTGAAGATCTCTCAGCACTAAATATTGACTTTTACAAGAGAGTTATCTTTGCCATGGGAAGAACAGGTGTTAGACAAGATAGCATTATATCTTCACTAATGCATTATGCTCAAGCATCACTAAAAGGGATTGGAAAATGCCAAGTTTGGAATCCTTCAAAACTCAAGCCAAATCTCATATTTGCAGAACATGAACAGAGGACTATTGTGGAAACTCTTGTCAGCCTAATGCCACAAGAGAAGAGCATTTCCATTCCTTTGAGCTTTCTCTTTGGAATGTTAAAGATGGCAACCTTGTTGGATGCCACCATTGCCTGCAGGCTCGAGCTCGAAAGGAGGATCGCTTTTCGGTTGGAGATGGTTTTACTCGATGATCTTCTTATGCCGTCCATAAAAACTGGGAACTCGTTGTTCGATGTTGACACTGTTCACCGCATTCTGGTAAACTTTCTTCAGCGAATTGAGGAGGAAGGGAGCGAAGATTGTGGTTATGAATCTGAAGGCATTGGTTCGCCGAGTCACGGCTCTTTATTGAAAGTTGGGAGACTTATGGATGCATATCTAGCGGAAATTGCTCCTGATCCTTACCTGAGCTTGCAAAAATTCATTGCCATCATTGAAATACTTCCTGATTATGCTCGTGTCGTTGATGATGGGCTTTATAGAGCAGTTGATATATACTTGAAGGTAAATTTCACTACTCATGAACTGTCTACGGTTCCATACACAATCAAATTACTTCACCCTTTACAACTTCTGTTATTAAGAACACATTTTGCTTAACATGTACTAATAACCAGTGTACTCTTAGCAAAGTTTTAGAAATCATTTTCTCACCAAGTAAATTGTGAGAATTACACAGCCAAATTTGGTAATGTCCTAATTACACAGCCAAATTTGGTAACGTGAGTCTGAGAAGCGTGATTTTTTTTAATCTTCTTCCTCATCATAATGGAATGTTACAACGGTTAAAAATGAACGTACACATTGAGAGTTAACAATTAATTTTATGAGCGCTTTTTTGCCTTTCATTTTATATTATTATTCTTGTTAGTAAATAATTAGGGCGTTTAATCCGTAACATTTTTTTTTTTTTTTTGCAGGCTCATCCAATGCTAACAGAACTAGAATGCAAGAGGCTTTGCAAGTTCATAGACTGTGGCAAGCTCTCTCAAGAAGCCTGCAACCACGCTGCTCAAAATGACCGACTACCGGTGCAAATGTCGGTAAAAGTCCTCTACTTCGAGCAGCTAAGGCTAAAGAACGCGCTATCGGGAAGCTCCGGCGACGCAGGACTACTGTCGCAGCGGATGAGCAGCGGAGTGCCGAGCGCAGCCATGTCTCCCAGAGACAATTACGCTTCTCTAAGGAGAGAGAACAGAGAGCTGAAGCTGGAGATCTCTCGAATGAGAGTGAGGCTAAGTGAGTTGGAGAAAGAGCAGCTTTGTATGAAGCAAGGAATGATTCACAAAACAGGAAATGGGAAGACATTCTTGACTTCAATATCAAAAGGGATTGGTAGGATTGGGATTTTCAGTGGTCCAAATGGAGGGAAAAGACATAAATCTGGAAGGAAGTCTAGGGGATCAGAAGGGAAGAATGGTAGAAGTAGGAGGCACTCTGTTTCTTAGGTTGTTGGCGGAAAGAAGAATGATTATTGCCACCGTGCCCCTTAAAACTTTTAAGTCATTCTCAGTTTGATCCCAAAATTTTAAAGACCTTCGCTTTGCTCCCTTAAAGCTTGAATTATTCGTACTCAACCCCTTTCTACTAAAAGTTTTGTTAAAAATAGACAGAAAAATGAGATAATTAGATCACATAATCTTTTTGTTAGAACTTCTATTAAAACAAATAAAAATAAACTGTATGACCACATTTAATCTCCTCTTTTTCCTTTTAATTTTAACAAAAATTCTAATAAAGGGAGTTAAATAAGACTAATTCAAAATTCAAAGGCAAAGTGTTTTTTTAAAGCTTAAGAGTACCTAAGAATTAAAGGCACCAGTGAGATTAACCCAAAGAAGAAAAGTGTTGTTTAATGATAGTCTTTGAAGGTATATTAGGTTTGTGTTTTTGTTAGTTTTTGTTCAGAAGAGAAAAAGAAGCAAAATTGATAGTGTATTTCTTTAGGAGGGTGAAAAGGTTATTTGTTACCACCAGTGATAATCATCACAATTTAAGTGTGAGAACAATCTTGTTTCTTGTGGTGATTATAACTAGTAGTGATTAATATCAAGTATTATTACCATATCCTGATGTCCATGTGAAAAGGCATCATTGTATGAACTGAATTTCTGAAGAAAAACGAGATGCTCCAAAGGTTAACTGAATGCTGTATCACCTTAAAATGTGATATTTTATCCCTCATTAGCTATATGAGAAGTAAAATATAATTGTACACGATAAAATAATAATAACAATAATAATAGTAATAGTAATAATAATAATAACAAAACAATGGAATCTCATTTTGTTACCTAACAATTCTAATATATTGTTTGGACAAAAAAAAAATCTAGTACATTAATTGTATGGGCACGTCAAGCATCCTTTTTACTTTAAAAAGAATGAAGCATAAGAAAAACTGATAAAAACAAATAAAAAAGAAATTTGGATCCCTCTTTTTTCTTGTTTATTTACAAGACTGACATCCAGTGATGGAACTTTAAGTCGGCGGGCTGCCTGAAACCCGAATTTTTTCGGGCTCGAGCGGGCAAGCCCATATGCCGGCCCGTCCAAGGTGAAAATTCGGGCTCGGGCAGCCCGAATTTTGAGACCACGCCGGAGCCCGCCACCGTGTAGGTGCCATCAACCGCCGTCCGCCAGAGTTTTTTTAAATTTTTCCGGCCATGCCCGACCCGCCCGAAAAACGTTTAAATATCCGGCCGTATGCCCGACCCGAAAATAAGCCCAACAACCCGAATTTTGCTCGAAAGCCCGAAACCTGCCAATGAAAATATTAGTTGTTACAAATTGGGGCATTCTAAGAATCGAACTTGGGACCTCTTGCACCTAAAGTGAGAATTATACCACTAGACCAAATGCCCATATTTGTTATTTAAAATTTTAACTTATTAATTAAGGTAAACACACAATTCTTAAATAGAAAGAGCAAATTTCTATTTTAGCAGTTTGATATTTCAGTTTTCACATTCTTAACCCTTTTTTATAATCAATCACATGATAAAAAGATTCCTCAAAAAACAATATACACAATGAAAGAAACACATTGCCATCACCTTTTTATTATTTTTTATTTTTAAAAAGTGTTGTTTCTATATAATGTCAGTTTTGTTCTTATAGATACTCATGTTTTTCTACTCTATATCACTCTTCTTTCTATCTTTATAATTTTTCTGTTCACAATCTCTCCTCATCCTCTTAATTATCCTCTTTTTTCTTTCACTTTCTTCACTCTCTTTGTGACTCTATATCAAAGTAACTTTCTACTTGCATACCAAAGTAAATTAATAATTTATCAAAAGTCACTCAATGATTGGTTTCATAACTTTATTGCTATTTGATGATCTCTATTTTAAAAGACCAGCCATTGGATGGTAGATTAATTATTTGAAAACCCATTCAACGACTACTTAGTAGAACATACTATCCAACATCACCTTTAGCTTTAGGTGAACTTTTAAGAATTATTATTTTATTTAGCGAATATAGGGATGACCCAATCTTAGAAGTTCCTATTCATTATATGGAAAATAAATTTAAAAAATATTGGTTTAAGTTGCCTTTGTTGTATGGCGTAGGTACTATTTTTGATCATAGATTAAAATTAGAAGGTTTAGAAAGTGGATATATTTTCGATCTCAGTCTCCACTATTTCATTCGAACAAGCCTTCAGTACGACAGAAAGAATACTTGAGGAACGCCAGAATGCATTGCAAAGGGATATTGTTGAAGCCTTGGTTTGCATTAAGGATTGGGATCGGGCTGATCAACGTCTACAAGATACAATTTCACCGGCAAGCCAATAATGGATCGATGAATTTAATCGATTAGCATTTAATTTTGAAGACGATCCTTCAACTTCAAATTAAATTGTAAATTTGTAATTTGTAAATATGTATTTAACTTTGACATTGTATTTATAATTGTATAACTTTGTAAGTTTGTAAAATTTGTAATTCATCACAAAATGATTGTACTCTTTTTTCCTTGCCAAGATTTTATCCCAATTGAGTTTTTCTTGGTAATGTTTTTAACGAGACAATCATGAATTATAAATTTAAAAATTAATAAAGAAATAAATTTTTTTATATAGTTCGTGTGTTCATTTCAAATTTCAAATTGTAATATATATATATATATATAAATTTTAACATAAAATAACTTAATATTAAAAAAAATTTTAAAAAAAAAATTCGGGCTACTCGGGCGGCCTAATACAAGCCCGTGGCCCATTCAATGTGAAATTTGGGCTCGGACAGGCGGTCCGAATTTTTCAGGCAGGTCGGGGACGGCCCATGACATCCTCAGATTTTATCCCTATTACCCCACTGTGTTACTTTGTACATACACTTTTTATTTATGAAAATGCCATCATCTCTTTTGCTACAAATGAACTACTTTTCATGTTCCAGCATAAGAGAAAAAAAGAAAACGGCGAGAACTAAGTGAAAGCATTGCATAAAGAAAAGAAAAAAAAAATCTACACGTTTATCAATGAAATCTTGATAAATAAACAGGAACAAAGAGGGTTGTTATTAATTGAAGTTGGTTGAGAAAATTGAGTTGACACTTGTCAAGAGGATAGGGTAACATTTGAAGGAGAGTCTGAAATAAAATCTGTATTTAACACTCTTCAGTAAATATAGCAGCAGATGCTTTAAGTTGGGAATCTGTTTCAGTCTTACTAGCTATTTATAAGCCCAAATTGATGGATTTACAAAAGTTAAAACTTGATATTGTTTCAAAAGATCAAATGGCTAGAATAACATCAATGGTGGAATAACTTATATTTCTGGATATAATTAAGCAGGCATAGCATATGGACACATGCCCTTATACAAAGGAAGAAAGAAGTAGAAGAAGTAAACTAAGGTGATTTTCATATTTATAATGATGGGATTTTGAAGTACATGGATTGAGTTTGTGTCTCGAAAAATAAATGATTTGGAAAGACATATTTAAATAAGCACATTCTACGCTTTATTCAATACACTTAGGGAGTATTAAGAGTGCAGGGATTTGAAAAGTACTATTGGCGGTCAGAATGAAGAATGATAGGACTAAATTCGTTGGAAATGTATTACTTGTCAACATATTGAAGTAGAAATCTAAAGGCCGGCAGGGTTACTAAATCCTTACCAATACCAGAATAAAAGTGGGAGAGAACTTTGAAGGATTTTATTTTGGAATTGCCTAGTACTCAGGAACGATATAACTCTATTTGCATAACTGTTAACAGAACAACGAAGTCGACACATTTTCTTTCGGTGAAGTCTACTTGCAAGGTAGACCAATATTTTCAGTTATACATTATGGTTTGTTACTATCTGTAGTTTCATATAAACACTCAAGTATGTCTGGTAATATGAGTCACGATACGATAACACGATTTAAAAACGACACGAATTTTGTTGGTTAGGTTGAGAAAAAAGAGGTTCGAGTTAGAATTAGGTCGACCTGAAATTGACACGAAAAATACGGGTCAATTTTGGGTTAAAACCGCCTAACCCGAACACGACATACAACTCGTAAAAAACTAAAAAATACATATTTTTTCATTACATATTTTTAATTTTATTATGAACTTGTGATATCATGATAGTTATAGTCAAAATCTTATACTATTATTTATTTAATTTCAATGGATGTTATTGTATTCTAGTGTGTTATGAATTTTAAATTATTTGTAATATGTAAAAAATTAAATAAATAGTATACAATTTTCGTGTCAATTTTGAGTTCACGAGTCAATTTCGTGTCACGAGTCATTTTCTTATCGTGTCATATTTGTGTTACGGTTTTTAAAAAATTTCGTGTCACGGGTTGTATTCGGGTCAACTGTAAATTTTAAAAAAATGATCAAAATACAACACGAACACGACACATGACATGAATTACCACCCTTATATTCAAGGTTTACTTTTACCTTTTAGAAAAGTCTGTAGAAGGCTAAGGAGAGTGTTTTGGATTTCAGTGCAACTTATTATGCTGAGATAAATGTATAGATGGATAGTGTAATACCAATATTTTAGAAGATACGCTTAGAGCTTATATGTTAGATTTTTCAGAAAGTTAGGTTAAAGCTTAGAACTTGCAGAATTTGCATGCGATAAATGGAAAATGTCAATCTCTGATATATTAGGATTATGTTGAAAGAAATTACTCGGCCTCAACTAGTTTAAGATATAATAGAAATTGTTGGAAAGATTCGTCAAGGACTTATTTGCGAAAGATTTTTGTTTTTAAGGTTTCAGTGTAGTTATTGAATTTTCTGGGATACTTTTTACAATTTTTTTAAAAACTTGATTGTACTGCTGTCTTTATGTGGCTTTTATATTTTTCTCTCCCAATTGCTTCCCATACGTTTCTCTCTCAAGCACTTTCTCAAACTAAAGAGAAAACTTCTTTCTTTCAACAAATCTTCTTCAAAAACTCTTCTAACTCCTAAACAAGAGAAAATCCAGCCTTATTAGCGCTCTTAAAACACACAAGAATGTAGAAACAAGCTTTCATTAAAACCCTATTCTCGGATTCCTCCAAAGACCCAATTTTTCACATGCAAGTTTGAGCCAAAAGTGAGGTTTTTTTTACATTTTTGGAGTCCAAATCTCATAACCTATCTAAGGTGAGTTTAAACCAATGTTTTTAGTTAGTTTTTAACTTAATTCAAGCTAGAAATGTGGTGCTATTTGGCTGGTGTTTTGTTGGAAAAATTTGAGTTGCATGCAT